GAGCCCGATTCAGACTTCCTGTCTGAAATATGAGATAGACCAACTCAAAGACCACTGATCCAAAGCCTTTCTCCAATCTGAGTGTGTCAAAGTTCCCTAAGAGCCTTAATGGGACTCTGGGCACTGCTCACACCCAAATTATATCACCAGAATAGGGACAAGTGCAGTATGGAAGGGCCAGCCCTCAAGTGTCCAAGTTCAGAGGGAGCTCAAAGAGTCCCAAGGCAAGGCTCACAAGAGGGGGGCAGAACTTAAAGTCTAAGAGAGAGTGAAAGTGAAGAACAGAACTCTAAGGAATAAAGGAGAGGGAAACAGCCACAAACAGGTACACAAAAAGGGGTTCAGGGAATAGGAGAATTGCAAAGAGCCTATTGCTTAGGTTAGGGCAAGCTTTAGGCATACCCAGTAATGGAGGATACTGGCATGCCTATGTCTGCCAGAACACATCATATTAGAGGCTAGGATCCCAGGGGATCAAGTTTGAGTCATGGACAATAATTTGCAGTACTGCCATGCCTCAAACCATAGCATAAACACATAGGGAGTGGGGGGTTTTGGGATTCACAATAGATTAGAATAGGCAGAAGGGAAATTACAGCATGCTAAAGTAAGCATTGAACTACACATAAGCAGTAGGCAAACATGCAGGTAAAGGTAGTAAATAAACACACTGTTGTGATTGCTGAAAACCTTAATCAGGACATACCAGTTTCAAAGAAGCAAAATACAGCAATAGCAGTACTTGGAAAACAGGCCACAACACAAGTAACAAGAGAGAATGCTTTTGAATGTGAGGGTGCGTTCAGAAAACTAAGAGTGTTCGTGTGTTAATGAAAGAGCAGGTATTTATAGTGTGAAACAGGCAGAAAATAAGGCAAGAAATAACCATGTACCAATTAAAATCAATCAGTAGAAGAACTTCCTTAATTAAGGAGTTCAAACTTAAACGGTAATGAACAGAAATCATTTAAGGAAAGAAATCGAGTAAGCATCTTGTGCAAAGTAGGCAATTAGGGGTAAATACATAAGAGTTTAATTAAGGGAAGAATCTTTAAGATACACGGTTAAACAAATAAGGTAAGATACCCAATAAAATCAATCAGTACATAGTAAATCAAGGAGTCAGGGGTTCGAAATCACTGGTTCACGAGTAAACCAAGTCAGAAAGGCTAAGGAAAGTTTTTGAATCAAACCAAGTAACAGGGAAATTAGCACAACAAGGAAAGAATCAATCAGATTTACACAAAGGAGGTCTGAAATCAGTCAAAAAATTGAAAATCATTTTAGAGGGGAAGCTCAGCATATATAAAGAGTACACAAGTATAGGCATGCGAGGCTGAATTTAGGACAAAGAAAAAGCATCATGCAATCACAAAATTGGTAAGTAGTAAACTATAGGAACATGGTAGTCATCTTAGTGACAAAGAAGAGGGAGAGTATCAAATAGCATACAGAGGGTCCATTAGAAAGACCTTAGAAGAGTTTAGCAGGAAATCAGAATCATATAAAGAAACAAAGGTTGAAACAAAGATTTCGAAACTCAGTCGAGCAGTAGATGAAACAATCTTCAGAAACTCGAATAGGTCCAAAAAAGTTAGGGTTTTGAAATCAAACAAGTTCAAAGATGAAGAACAAGCAAATCACATAGCGAATAGTCTCAATACTCGGATGAAACCCCAAATTTTAGGGTTTTGCCATCAATCGAGTGTAGAGATGAAAAGACAAGTAATCAAGGCAAAAATACTAACGAAATAAGTTCAGAAATCTCAGAAAGGAACTGAGACTTTTAACATGCATTTTCCAGTAGAAGAACAATCATAAGAAACACAGTAGAAGAACACATAAGAAATACAGTAGAGGAAACACATAGGAAATACAGTAGAAGGAACTTATAAGAAACACAGTAAAAGACACACATGTGAAACACAACAGAACATGCTAAAGATCAGAGAATTTTAAAGGATAACTTAACGAAACCCTAAATGGAAAAAAGATGAAGGCTCTGAAGGTATAGTTTTGAAAGAACTTTGAGAAAATGTTTAAAAGCTTAGAGAAAACACTGATATACAATGGATCTAAAAGAATCGGAAAAACCTCGAAGGGTTAGGGTTTCAGAAGAACCCAGGTGATGAGAAAGGCTTGGAAAGTCATTGATCTGAGCCGGAGAAGTCGAGATCAGGCTCGAATGACCATGGCTGGCCGGACCAAGGTCGAAGACGGCCATAGAACTCGAATCAAACAAAGTTTAGGCCAAGCTTCCTCATGGTCAGGCCTTGAAACCACAGTAACCAGGCGTATAGGAGTTATGGGAGGCCGGTATAAGACTTCAATGGCCTTGGAAGCCATGGATTCTGGTGATTTTAGGGTAGAAGTGGAGAGAGGCGGCTAGGGTTTGAGAAGCTTTGAGAGATAATTGAGAGAAATGGGGTTTCAAAGGCGGCTGGGGATGCAAAATGACTAGGGTTTGGGGGTAAGGGGAAATTAAAAAAGGAAAGATTAAAAGGTGGTCGTTGATCATTTTGATCAATGGCCTGGATTAAATGGGGAATCCGGGCGGGTTGTTTAGAAGGGTCGTGGGTCAGGCAGATTAGGTAATTGGGTTGGGTAATTGGGTTTAGGAATTGGGTTTAATCATAGGTCCAAATCCGGCTAAAATTGAAATGCAAATGGGCTATCATTTAAATAGCCATTTTTCCCTCATTTATTTTACAAAAAATAATAAATAATTTCTGGAAGTAAATTAAAGGCACTAAAATGATTAATAACATATAATTATCAATTTGAAAATACTGGACTTAATTTTTATAAATATAAACACAATTAAATCTTAAAAGGGGCTAATATTGCAATTATATGCAATTTAGCTTTAAAATACTAAATAAATTCGTAAAAATGTGAAAAAAATATATTAGCTATATTTTAGTATAAATATGAGAATCCAATAAATGAATCACCAAAATAATAATTTTAGAAATTATTATTGGGTTTTTTATGAATAAAAATAGGGGAATAAATTGGTTTAAAAATCTTTAAAAATTAAGGAAAAATAATAATACATTGGGACATGCTTATATATGCGTACATATGCTATTTTGAAAGTATTTTGCATATTAAAAATATACAGGAAAAAATTGGGTATCAACAGTGAGGGTATTTGATTCACGAAGGAAAGGTAAGTCTTGACCTCTGTATAGAGTAAATTGAGTAAGTATGAATATTACACGGCACGTGAGAGTCGACTCTTGAGGCAAAGATGTTATACTACTAGACGCAACTTTGGTGATATGTTCTTGGTGTGATATGTTAGGGAAAAGCTTAGTGAAGGAACCTTTGTAGAGTATGGTGGATTGCTCGGGGACTAGCAATGATTTAAGTGTGGGGTGTTGATAATATGCAAGATTCATGTAGTTTGGCGACTATTTATGCCCTAACTTGACTATGCTTCACTGTTCTAGGAGGGTTAAATGACGATAAAATGGATCTAATTGTGAATTTTATGTTTTGCAGGAGTAAGTCGTGCTTATGAGGACTTAGGACAGTGTTTGGAGCTAAATTAAAGCAAGGAAAGCTCCTCGGAGTTGAGTACGTGTGAAAGATGAAAGAAAAGAAGAGATAAATAGCTGATCCACTCTAGCGTGGGCCAAGCGCGGCCTTAGCGCGGCCACGCTAGAGCAGAAGAAACAGGGTAGTGTTGAAGTCGATATGCGCGGCCCAAGCGCGGTCACGAGCGCGGCCGCGCTAGTCCAGGAAGCAGCGACAGTGTAGAACGCCATTAGCGCGGCCCATGCGCGGTTCAAGCGCGGCCGCACTAGTCACTCCGAAACGCGGAAATTTTAGGGGTAAACTTGGAAGTTTGGGGGCAATTCCACTTAACCTATAAGAGGTCGAGCTCGCTCAAAAAGACGATATCAAGGTTTTTATAGTTTTGTTCAAGGCAAGAAGAAGCAAGAGGCAAGGAGGATAATTCGGCATCGAGTTCTACCTTTCTTCCTTTTGTTTTTAATATTCATGATGAATTTTGCTGTTGTTATTATGAACACAATTATGAGTAGCTAATTATTTAGTCTAAGGTTTTGATGGAACCTGTTGAGGGATGAACTTCTTGTTGTGTTAATATAGTTTGCCCAGTTTAATCTCTATTTGTTCAACTACGTTCTTGTTGTAGTTAATTGATAGGATCCTCAATTAGCTGTGCCTATTTAATACGTATTACTTGGAAGAGAGTGCATATTTAGGTAGTTGTTGAACTACACCACTCCCAAAGTATATGAGGAATCAATAACCGAGGGTTTAAAAGTGGGATTAGGGATAACGAAACCTTGGGTGCGATCTAGTAAATTGGGTGCTGTAATAAAAGCCAGCTAGCGTAACGCGGGAGAGTGCGTCTAGTAAATTATCGTAATTACTCGGGAGAGATTTACGGTAATAAGAGTGCTCATGATCGATAGAGACGATTAGGCAAATTTATACGAAACATAACAGGAAGGGATTCCATCAATAGGGGAAATCACAACCTTAGATCCTTCTCTTATTTGTTTACAACTCAGTCATAGTTAGCTTTTAGTTTACTTAATTTTATTCAGTTATAGTCGGTAGAAATATCACCAAGTGTTATTCAAAATATCTGGGAAGTTGATTACGGAGAATTCAGTGAGTCTGACAAAAGTAATTGGTAGGTTAATTCCCTGTGGGATTCGACTCTCGGCTAAATACCCGGATTATATTTGCAACGACCGCTTTGTCCTTTTTATAAGGTATAGTTGGGCGTGATCAGTGGTATTTTGCTGATAATTTTTCGGAATAAGCCCACAAGTTCTAAATTAAAGATACTTTTGGTATGTGCCAAAAATATCTATTATTCCTCAAATTTTGTATCTAGTCAAACACCGTCATATAAAATGAAACAGATAGAAATATTATTTTTAAAGCTCTGTTCATTTCAGATGACCGAGAATATTGATCGATGACAAAGGTAAGAATTTTTCTTAAATGGTAGAATATTGAAATTGTTACACATACGTACATTAAACAACCATTTATATTTGACTAAATACAAAGTTTATACAATTGCACATATCACTCTAGAAAGATATTCGATGAGCAATATATTGTCATCTAATAGCCACAGATAAGAAGTTCATTTCATAAAATAACATAAACAGTCATATTCTATTCCCTTTGGCCTTGGATATTGAGATTTCCCTGGTTCAGTTTGCTGCCTGTTGTTTGCGTAGAGTGATTATTAGCTTGCTGCCGATACAAAGCTGCCATGTTGTTGAAGTACTCCATGTCCATTGACTGTCGACATCGTAACCATAAAATAAAACGTAAAACAAAGATTGTAAATCACTATAAAATCTTCTCAAAACTAGAATATAAAAACTATGTTAATTTTGTGAACATTCCATCTAATTAAAAGCTTATATAAGTTGTTAGAAAGATCTCACGTCTAATAAGGGAGTACTTAATTATATAATATTAAGTTTTTATAGACCTTTGTGGTACAGCCCTTCTCCGAACCCCGTGCATAGCGAGAGCTTAGTGCATCGAGCGCTGCCTCTTTTTTTTTTAAAATTATATAATATGTCTCAATATGCCCCCATGCGGGTCTGAGCCTTTTTCATGGGCCAAACATGTTATTTTCTGTTCAATCACGATAACATTCTTGTATATGCTAATAGTTAACCACCTTTGTAGAAAATATCTCGTCCAAAAACTTAAAAGTGAAATTGGTATTTGAAAGTTAGAGTTGTGTTTGGACATGAATATAATTTGGAGCTGTTTTTGAATTTTTGTGAGTGATTTGAAGTGAAAATTTTAAAAATATTATTTTGGAGTTTTTCAAAATTCTGAAATTCAACTTAAGTGAAAATTGAAATTTTCATGGTCGAACACTGATTTCGAAAAAAAAAAAATTTCTGGAAAAAAAAAGTAAAAATTTCTTATGGCCAAACGGGCTCTTAAATTATTAGTGAGAACACACTATTAATTTTGATTTATACTGTGTCTCAACATATATTGATCATCTTCTAATTACTTAGCTTGATCTACTAATTAACAATAACAATCAAGGAGTAATTAAACTGCTTACTTGCGTTAGAAATGCGCTATAGGGGTCAGTAAAAGGGGCAGAGTTGGAGGTAGTAGTGGTGGCCGGTGTAACAGCAGTTGTCACCCTGCCGACAGTATTAGCTTGTGCGGCGGAAGGAATAGCTGGGGCTGCAGGCATGGCGAAGGCTGATGGGATGAATGGATTAGTGGGAGTAGTGGCGATCGGATTTGTATGAATGAGGGGATGCGTTGTAAGAGACTGATGAGGAGGAGCAGCAGCAGCGCGAGCTAAAGCAGTCATGTCAAACATTCCCATGCCCATGCCAAGACCAACGCCCATGCCCATTCTTGCTAGTAATGACATCTGAATATGTTGATGCATTCCGAGCGGCATCATCATTTGCGGCGCCATGTTTCTTACACTGCTCATCAACTGAACTTGTGCCTGTAGCTGCTTTAAGTAGTTTATTACCTCATCAAGCATTGATGCTTTATCTGTCTGCAGAATTCAACATTAGTTGCATCAAAATTTGGGCAGCTGGGCTCAATTTAATATTCACTACTGTTATTTATGTGACTATATATATAACGCACCTTACTTGCATTTGGTACCAACCGCTGCAGAGCTTTCATCTTTTGGTTAATTCTATCTCGACGTCTCTGTACCAGACAATAAAACAACACAACAATATGCTATTAGCACGTAGCTACACATATGTTCATGTAAGACCTATAATTAGGCAGAGTAAATAGTGTGTATATACCCGCTCTGACTGGTTATGAACAACTGCTGCTCGGCTGCGTCTTGATGAGTTGGATCTTTTTGTTTCATGTTCTTCCTCCTTGTTTTCCTGCTACAAGCGAAATTCGATTTGCAATCAGATTTACATGACATATTCCTCCTGAAGTGGATCCAGGATTTTAATTTTATGGCTTCGGAATTTTAGAACGGCGACTTCAAGTGTTCATAACTGGGTTTTAAACTTAATTTTTTTTTTATGTTTAATGAATTTCTTAATTCAATTACATTGTTAGAACAAAAGTTATTGGGTTCGGCCAAACACGTATCCGGGCTACTAGCTCCGCCCCTGATATTCTCTCTAAAGGTAGATATATTAATATGGTACAAGAAGATGTTAGTAGAATTTGCTTACCGAGCCACCATCATGACAAGCAGAATCCTCGTCACAAGTGGTTTTGGATTTAATACTACGAGAAGATTCATCAAATGAAGGCCATGTCACCATAGTGGTATCATTCTCCCTGCAGAACGTTGCGCTGGCACTTGCACATGCGCTACGTTCTGCATACTCATCTTCTCCTACTAATTTTCCAAAATATTGGGGTTCAGATTCTGATCTCATCCTCTTTTTAGCCAACACTGTTGCTCCAGGCGCCATTTGATGTTGCGAACTCTCGCCCCATTTTCCTACACACATCCCGATTTTCAGATTCTGATTTTGGTCATAATTTTGAATTGAAGTCTGATTTTGCCCGTGGTATGTTGCTTGATGCACGATGGACTCTAATGTATCACCGGCTCTTCCCAATGTTGTTGGTTTTGTTTCCGACATGGAGAGGATGCCCCCAACTCCATGCATTCCTATCTGTCGGTTTTCCCATGTCAGCTCTGCAACTTTTTCGCACTTGGACCTGCAATTTTTTACTTATATTAAACATATATTTAATCATCAGGAGGATCTAATAATATTGCTAGGAATATTCACGAATGTTTTCCCAAGCACACTACATGTAAATCAAGGAAAGAATAAATGGCAATTCGGGGCACAAAGCATCCAGCGTTTACACGGGAATCCGGGGAAGGGCCACATCCCAAGGGGTGTGATGTGAACAACTAACTTTAATGCAATTAAGTATTAGTGTCTGCTTCGACGGATTGAACTTGTGACCTATAATACGTACTGGACCAGTAATGAAGGATGAATTGAAAGCAGCACAAACTTGTCCAAGTTGTACGTAGTTCCAGTTTTTTTTTTTTTTTTTTTTTTTTTGGCTACTGAATTCACTGAACTGGAAAATCTGGTTATGATCAGAGAGTGAACTTGAAAGGAAGAAAAAAACTAGAAAAGGGGCTCAAGAAAACTGTTCTAAGAATTGAAGGGTAATTAAGGGAGCATATATAGTACATGGGCATAAAATGATTAATCTGATTCTGCTGATTATGCACGTGAGGGTATTGGTTAGCCTCTTCTGCTTCTACTGTTTGTTCTTGTCTTTGATGCCTTGGATTCCAAGTTGGTACCGTACAATGACTCATGATTATGCCTTTGATTGACTCTATTCTTCTTCCCTGTGCAAGAATGAATTTTGGGCTTCAGTTAAGTTTGGCTTCTCTGTCTCTTATATAATACTATTAAAAAAAAATCTTGCTTTCTGGTCCCCTTTTGGATTGTCACATTCAGCTGAATAATTACTGAACAGTACACAACTTGTGACATAGCAAGAAAGCCTGGATTTCAAAAGGATATGTTTTGGCTTCTTTCTCAATACTCTTCCTATCTGTCTATATATGATCTAGGTAACAATTGTGTAGTTCTTTCGGGGGTCGTTTGGTTCCAATCTGGGATATCCAGGGGTAAATAATTGCAGGATTGTAATCCTGGGATTATCCTACATCCAATGTGGGATAGTTAAAACTGTTTGGCTCAAAAGTTAACAATACACTTTGTAAGCTAAAAAACAATCAAAAATAGGAAAAGGGTAAATTGTAATCAAATATAATAATCCTAGAGATGCAAAGATGATAATATTGTTGTAGATCTAGTATTGCAAAGAGACAGTATGAACTCAATAAGATACGTTCGTTTGAAGTAGAGATAGAGAGAGAAAGCCAGAAAAATGAGAGAGTTGTATTAGATCAGATGCCCCCTTTTACAATGCGAGGGTCTCCTTTATATAATAAGAGACCTTCCTCGAAAGAATCAAAAAGTTATAAAGACAGGTAACGTCTCCCTAGTGAAGACACTGAGTCCTAAACGATGTCGCTTTTGTCCCCACGGCCGGGTCGTACTCGCTACGTTAGTTGGCGTACACTCACTGGGCGTACCCACTGGCGTAGAGATGCTGAGGGTCAAATTTGACCCTATACAGTTAGTCCCTCCGCTCGTTGGAGACACATTCGGTGGGCGTCTTTGATGGGCGGAAATGTGAACCTCGGCTTAGGAGAATTTGACCTCGACCCGGGGCGGCAATATGAATGAAGTGAAATATATGACGTTGTTGAGCCACTGACGCGCAGCTTCCTTTTTGGAATGACGTCATCGCCTGTATGCATCATTATTATATTTGCCCCCGAGGCGGTTCAGAGGATGATGTGACATTTTGGTTTCCGGCGTACATTTTGAATCATGACTCTTCGATCCCTGCGCAACTTATCCCTATAAGTAAGAGAGAGGTTCGATTTGATTCCACATTCAAGCCTTCGGAAAGCATTTTCTGATATACTTCTTTGCCTTTCTTTCCTGTAACCGTTATTTCGTGAGGGAGTCTCCCACTTCTGTTGAAACCACACTTCCTATCGTCAGTGCTTCATTTCTTACGCAGTACAATCATGACAAAACGTGGACAGAGTAGCAAAAAGGCCAAAGATAATGCCCCGTCTAGGGTTCCGCCGTCTTCCGGCGGTGAAGGGGAAAAGGCGGAGAAGGCCCTTGTTCCTCTCAGCGTAGACAACGTCCTTCCGAAGGAGATGCATGTCCGCAGGGATTTTCCAACTAAAAGCCCGGACCTTCCCTGGGAGCACAGCGTTTTATAACAATCCCATTTAGATGATCTGCGAGAGACGTACCATATTCCGGACCACGTGGAAATGGTTTCGGCCGGGACGGACTATGCCAATGTGCACCGGCCTGGGTATTGCACATTCTACGAGTACCGTTCTTGATTGGTTACAATCTTCCAATCTACCCTCTGATGGAGGAGCTTTGCCGTTTTTATAATGTGTGTCCGACCCAGCTCACTCCTTACACCTTGAAGGTGTGCCGTATTATGACCACTTATGCGGCCAGGGCTGAGTGCAGCGTCTCGGTCCACCACCTCTTACAGTTATTCAGCCCTGGTTACCTGAGGGGTACCATGCTGCAGTTGAAAGGTCGTGGCACAAGGGGATTGGTTGTTAAAGCCGATGATAAGCCCAACCGCCGCTTTTGGCGTAAATATTTCTACATCAGGACGGAGCACCTAGTGTCGAATCCCGAAGGGTTCCCGGAAAGATGGAATCCATAACGTAAGTATTTCTACTCGTAGAATTCAAGACTGCTTGCGCTTTTGACCATACGGCCATTGTGATTTCTTTTCTTTTCTCTCCCTCTTTTTTTTTATTCGCAGCGAGGGCTTCTCCACCCCAGTTCATTGATGACATTAAATCATGGGTGGAAAGAATAATACCTTATGCGGAGGAATGCCGTACCTGGGCTGCATTTTTTCAATAGTATGGCCTGTCAGGTAATTCTTTGGCTACGATTTGGGAATTTCCTACGTTCTCATTTCCTGACTTATTCGTGTTGGCAGGTCGGAGCGCTCCTAAGAAGAAGAAAAAGAACGTCGTCACCTTACCTGGGGCGGGGACTGATTCCTAAGACGGATACATACCCTGTGGTTCGCCTAGCGAGGGCGCTGCGGAGGTCCCTCAACCGCTGCCCCTGGCGGCATCCACGAGGGGAGCGACTCCTTCAATGCCATCCCCACGGGCTGTGGAGAAGACTTCTGAGAGCGAGGAGCCGCCAGAAAGGACAAGACGTCGGTTGATAACCGGCAAGGGGATAGCCTCAGAAGACGAGGGGGCGAGCGAGCCCCATCCGGAGTCAAGGCTAGTTTTTATGGCAGATGCCATCCATTCCGGGAGGTTGGCTCCCCAAGGGGGGGCGGTTCTCGACGCCAGCCCACCACGCATTCCGGAGAGCGGCTCGTCGGCTGTCGTTGGAGAAGCAGGTGATGATACCGAGAGGGTGGGCCGTAAGGCCGCCCAGGCGGATGTAGATGCGTTAATGCGGGGTTCGGCCCGTGTAGAGATGACGGCAGGTAGATCCGACCGCCGAATTCTGATCCCAGGAGGGTATAACCTGTTGCAACACAGCGAGCAGGCCGCAACGGATATGACCCTGCTATGTGCGGCCGCTGAGCGTGAAACATTACAAGGGGTTAGCGACGGGGAACTATCCCAGAGGGTTGCCGGCGCGGCCTTGCAGGTATTTTTCGATTTTCTTCATGTACCGTAAAGTAAACTTTGATGCATACTGACTTGCCTTTCTTCCTTTTCCTTTTTTTTTGAGACTCTCATATTGGAGATAGAGAGGGGGCGGCGAGCGCAAAGGAAGGCAGCTACCTTTAACAAGGTGGTAAAGAAATATCGGCGGTGCCGTGTCAAGCATCAGGCGCTGGCGGACCTACTCAAACAGGACCCGGAATTTCGGGTTTTCCGTGAGGGTTTGGAGCAGTCGGAGGCCCAGCTGAAGCGGAGGGTGGCCGAGTTGGAGCAGATCGACGAGCAGCTGATGACCGCCCTGGCTCGGAACATTGAGCTGGAGACTCTTCTCCAGTCTAAGGAAGAAGAGTTGGAGGTTGGCCGTGGGGTAGCGGCGGAAGCTGCTGATTTGCGGGTTAAGGTTGCCGCTATGACCGCCGAACTCGATGCCAAGGCGGCTGAGATTGAAGTCCTCAAACGGACTGCTGCACCAAGGCCTGATGAGGATGCGCATCGTGAGGCGCATGACATGTGGGTGTACGCCGAGGCCAGATTGGTCGTATTCGAGGAGTTCTTAGCTGCGGGTCGAGCTACTGAGGCAGAGGTTCAGGAGCAACGGCGCATAGTCCGTGTCGCCCGTGAAACTTGTGGGTATAATTCTGATTCCCCAGACCGAGCGGGCTATAACTCCGAAGACGTCAACCGTCTAGAATCCGGCTCTTGGATCTCTGCGGCCTATCAGACCGAGGACGGCGATGGACGGGATGGCGATCCGACGGGAGGCGGTAAACAGAATGGCGAAGCCCCTTAGGACTTGTATTCATTTTGTTTCGCTGTATTTGGAGACGTAAATAGGTCCTTTTGTACATGTATTTTTGGATGATAATGGAAGTTATACTTTTGCTGTTATTCTTTTCTTTCTGCACCTTTTATTTTTGGCCTTTAATATTGTTGATGGCCTTAGCCATGTGCGTAACTTCGACTGTCGTCGGGTCGTTTTACCCACCGTAGTCGAACCTAGGTCGACCGTTGGCGGCGATGGCCTTAGCCATAATATCGTTGATGGCCTTAGCCATGCTCGTAACTTCGACTGTTGTCGAGTCGTTTACTCACCGTAGTCGAATCTAGGTCGACCGTTGGCGGCGATGGCCTTAGCCATAATTTATGGCCTTAGCCCTAATATAATTGATGGCCTTAGCCATGTAGGCGACTTCGACTGTCGTCGAGTCGTTTACTCACCGTAGTCGAATCTAGGTCGACCGTTGGCGGCGATGGCCTTAGCCATAATATAACTGATGGCCTTAGCCATGTAGGTGACTTCGACTGTCCTCGAGTCGTTTACTCACCGTAGTCGAATCTAGGTCGACCGTTGGCGGCGATGACCTTAGCCATAATATAACTGATGGCCTTAGCCATGTAGGCGACTTCGACTGTCGTCGAGTCGTTTACTCACCGTAGTCGAATCTAGGTCGACCGTTGGCGGCGATGGCCTTAGCCATAATATAACTGATGGCCTTAGCCTTTCATACATTGGAGATGGTCGTAGCCTTTCATACATTGGAGATGGCCGTAGCCTTTCATACATTGGAGATCAAGCTAGTCCAGTCCTTTATCATGTCGGCCTGGAGGTCGTAAGGAGAGGTTGATATGATAAACTTGTTTCGCAAGTATCTCCAAGTGTCCCCTCTGCCGCCTCGTTAAAAACCTCCCCGAGAAAACCCAATTGGGACAAAACTCGGGTAAGGGAAAAAGAGTACGACTCGGGAGACGCCTTTCAGAAGTGGAAATACTTAAGGTGAGTAACGTTCCAGTTGTTTTGGAGTGTTTTCCCTTCCATTGTTTCCAACTGGAATGCGCCTTTGCCGGCTACTGCTGTGATTTTGTAGGGTCCTTCCCAGTTGGTGCCCAGTTTCCCTTCACTTGGGTCTTTGGAT